AATTACCAAGAAGTTATCTCTCCGAGTAGGAAAATGAAGTGAGGAGAGATGCTTGGAACCACCTCAGATGCTGAAGACAGCACAAGACGATAAAAGAGATGGATATGTGGAAATGGCAAGCGTGCAAAGGGAGTGAGGAGGAAGATGGATGGAAGCTGAAGACAGAAAAACACTCTTATATCTACTGAAGGTCTCCCCTGCGACAGGGTTTAACTGCCTGAGACGACAAAGACTCATGATCCCTTCAAAAATAATAATTAAAAAAGAGAGAGAGAGAGTGACTGCTGGTAATTCACAGCATTATACACACAGCAAGAAGAGAGCTGACACACACACGCTGCATCCACAGTATACGGCCAGCATCATCACACAAAACACACCATGAACCCTGGGTACAAACACAAGCCTAAGGCAACAAACTAGAAAACACACACACACACACAGAACATGCCAAAAGCTTTGATACATACAGATTACTTAGTGTAATGAACTTAAACAGCAAACACGCACGCGCGCTGACAAACACACTCGAGATAAAGCTTTATCCAAAGACAACAAGCTGAGGGAGTTTAGTCATATCTCCGAATCCCACAAATCTCCTTCTCTGGCCACTTCCCCTGAAAGGACGGCTGATATCTCCATTAATGCAACAACAGTGAAATGTCCCATGAAATGCTGTAATAGGAGTATTATCGCTGAATGGGATAAGGAGCCAATACGCGTGTAGTCGCTTTGTAAAAACCACTTCTCAGCAGAGATTAGAGGCTTCTTCTTTTCTCTTTAAATCTAAAATTTTAAATGTTAATACCAAAATAACAAGGAGTGATTATCAGTCTGTTTGCGTCCATTTCTGCCACTTTGATTCAGCTGTATTAGGAAAACAATGCGTTAATCTTTCACAACAACAGCTCAGGCAATTTCGTTCCCCCTCCTATATGAAATATAAGTCAGCCCACTCCGACGGTCAGGTTTTCATTCAAATGTTTTTTCATCAGTTGGCGATTAAAAAGTGCAAAAAGCTGGCTAGACCTTTACAAGTGAGGATAAACCCACACAGACACAAGCAGACTGGTTTTACAATTAATTTCTGACTTTCAGTCATTCAGCTGAGGTTCTCACAATGACTGCAACAGTTCAAAGCAGTTTACGGGAACGCACAAAGGTGTTGTAGTTTCTTCAGGTGAGCTGGTGACATGTGGGCAACGCTGCAGAAATCTTTACACCACAGCCTGTTAAATAAATTCACGTTTAAAAAAAGAAAAGAAAGTATATCAAAGGGTTTGACTTCAAATAACACAGATGAAGCTACACTTTCTTTTCTCTTAATAGGTTTCTTAATACATTTAAAACATGAGAAAAGCAGTGCTTATAATATATTCAAGTGTTCTGACGATTGAATCATCTTTATTGTCATTACACACAGTGCAATGATATTTGGTTTGGCTTTCTTCTAGGATAAAAAATGAGAAATACACAGAATGAATAAAGAATTGGTACGTAACTGAAGATAAACAAATAAACTCAGGAGAAAAGCGGTTTGTGAACGATCTGACAGTCTAGTGTAACAAAAGCAGAAACCTGATCAAAACTGCTTCGATTAATACATGTGTACTTAATCAATGAATTAATTCATTGGCTCCGGATTCATTTTATGTTGATTAGTAATTGATGATTAACCAATTCATTATTTTGACTCAAAGTAACTGCACGTAGGTTAATCCACAAAACTAAACATAAGTGGATGTAAGGCAGTCGTGACTTCTTGTTGTTGATAAACTATCTGAATTAAGACAGACGGATGATTTAAGCTTTACATTTTTTATAACCAAACAGGTTTGATAGCAGGGTCCCGGCAGCAGTGAGCATGAATCTGCCTCCGCCGAATGTGAGCATAAGCTACCCTCTCATCGGGTACACACAAAATCAAGAAGTCGCAATCATCTCACCTTTTAAAGACTACTTGATGATTGAAAATGCAACAAACACCAACGATAAAGCTGTGTACACACATATTCTACAGAAAAAACGTCTGAAAAATCAAACTCTTGTGCTGCCAGAGTAGCGTGTGCATGGGCAAGACATGAGGCGACCACTTAATAGCGATGAATTCACATGCACCGCTCTTAACACTCGTGCAACCTGGCACAATCGGAAAGACTTTGCACTACAGGACTGGCAGGCTGAAGACCATTTAATGTCCATTCTGACTGGATCTGACATTTTTTCGCCTGCAAAAAAAGATCTAAAAATAATCCAGGCTCCAGTGCATGTGCGACATGAGACACTAGAAGCGTAAGTCATAGCTCCAGGACAAAACAGGCCAGCAGTGAGACATGGACACACGCACACAGAAATGTCCCATGTCAACATCACAATAACGGGAAAACCACAAACAGCTCTTTTTTCTGTCAGTCACCCTGACCTTGAACTTCTGATCCAGCTCTGCCATCCATAATCATCACCCCCCCCACCTCACCCGCTAAACCACTACTCTCAGCCCCTTTCAAGTGGCAGGTTAGACAGGGCCTGATACCCCGCTACCGCCTCACAACCAGCGGGCTAATTACAAGGGAAGCAGCAACAAGTGAGCATTGTGTGGAGTCTCGAAGACACACGGGGGGGGGGGGGGGGGGGGGGGGGGGGGAAGAAAGTGCTCTTTATCATGCCACCACCACCGCCGCCACCACCGGTACCCCTTTACCCCCCCTCACTCTACCCAACTCGCCAATCCCACCCCCAACGAGAACAATCTATGAGAGGCTTCTGAGGTTGGAGAAGAGAAGAGAAGAGAAGAGAAGAGAAGAGAAGAGAAGAGAAGAGAAGAGAAGAAGGTGGAAGACACCACGTTTGTCTCCACTTCTTCACAATGTTTGTCACGATGCCGGATGTGCTGTGTTATGCAGCTTCGAGTATAAAGACGTTTGAGGAAACAACAAGCATGCTCACTAAGACTCGTAGTTCATTCAGTCGTATTCTCAGAATGTAACTGGTTACTGAATAAAGACTCTGAAAATGAAATGTGATTTCCAAGGAGACGCTGCTGTACCTACAAGTGCTTCTCTTCCAAGCAAAGGCTTTGCTTTATGTGCAAAACAGCACAATTAAATGGAGCTAGCAGGTCAAGGATGTATTCTATACAAAAACATAAAAAGAAATAAACAGTAAAACAAAAGTTTTCACCCTGTATTTTTTTTCTAGCAAGCCTGAAAGGAGCATATATAAAACTAAAGTGAAAAGGCACTGTGTAGCCAAATCACATGTATGAACAGTATAACCCGTCTTTACTTTACAGATGCATTTAGATCCATTATATGTTTTTCTTTATAGCTGTGGCGGAGAAAAGAAGCCACTCTCCTACTATGTATTTTCCCCACAGACTACAATTTTAAATTTTAGTTTCATTTAAAAAACCATGGAAAATGAAGGTAACTGTCCGCTTTTATTCTGAAAAATCACAGACCCTATTAAAGTCTCCCATGACCAGCCAACAGGCCCTGACCTGGACACTGACGGCGTCTTGAAACACTCTTAAGAAGCTCCAAGGTGCCATTAGAAAATCACATTTTCCAGCCATAAATCAGCATATTCCTTATTCACTATGCTCTCACGTGAAATCAGCCTACAGCACATGTCATCTCACAAACAGGCATCTATGCTGTTTAGCAACGTCTTGTCTGCTAGAGCAGGGGGTTAATTCAGGCAACAGGATTACGCAGCACGTGAAAAATGAATTAGGCACAACCGTTCACGTTCGGCGCAATTACTCAGCCTATCCATGGATATTGGTTCTTAACGGGTGACTCGAAGGGATTTTTTTTTTATGATGAATTCTTTAAGGGCTGTCTGGCTGGGTGAGCAATACTGCATACTTGAAATCTTTCCACGAGTCGTTCTGATGTTTGTTTTAGCGGTTTTAACACTTAGAACTGCTATTAAGGCTGTGCAATAAACCTCTTGTCATTCACCCGGGGTACAAACAGATGGGAAAACGTCACGTGAAATGGTTCGCGATGACGACATCAATCAAATTCCAACTTCAGCAACGGCGTAAACAAAAACAAGCTTTTTTTTCCTGTTTTTTTTTTTGCTTTGCCTCATGAGGCTGCGGCACTTTGATTTTATTCCGCTGTGTTTTAAATGCAGCTTTATTTTATAAGGCAGTTAGGGATGGTGTGAGCCTTGGGGATGGGGTGTGGGGGGAGTTAGCAGCACAGTTCAAAGCCAAATCAGAGCATGTGTAAAGTTTGAGAGAGATCTGCAGTGATGTGCCATTCATCTTCAGTCTGACAGAGACTCATGTTGTCTCTTCTGAATCTAAAACCTAGTGCAACATAAGCTGACTGATTCTGCTTTGTAATGTGAAAGAGACCCCCCCTCTCCAAAAAATATATAAAGCTGGTAGTTTAAACCCCTCTAAATAAGAGACGCAGCATTAAAATTCTGTATAATGTTTTAAGGGGTTATAGCTGAGCCACAATATGCTAATTGCATCTAAAAGGGGAAAACATCACTGAAATTTAGGCTGATGTGAGGGGAACTTTCCTAATTCTCAAAACTGCATGCACATAAAAAATAGAAATTATGAATTATGAAACAGAAAATACCAAGAAGAAATGTTTTATGCTTTTATGCACAAAAAGTCGAGTAAATTCTCCACCGCTTTGCATCTCTTTTCTCTCGAACTGAGACTACTGAGGACGTCTTTGCACCAGCCCAAAAAAATTAAAAATTAAAAAATAAAATCACTCAGAGGACACCAGGCTCGATATCTCCATCTACGAGTGTGCGTTCCTTTTATTCTCCCCGACTACAAAACACTGGATTTCTCTTCTGGGGCTCAGCACTGTGTGTTCACAGTCTGGACTTGATACTAAATAATACAAAGACAAGCTGAGGCGCAAAAACTTGCACCTTAAGGAGTCCTCAGGAGCACAGAATATCATCAGGTGCTAAGAGGAGAACCATAGCCAGCAGAAGGATTCAATGAGAAGTGGACTTACAGATGGAGAAACGGAGCTGTTGGGGAGGTAGGGGTCTGGCAGCATCAGGAACGGGTACCCTGGATATCCCGGCGACTTGTACATACCTCCATCTTGCTGCTTCGACACTGACAGGAAAAGCAAACAATTAGAAGCTGTCACCTTTGTTGCCTAATTTTTCCAAACTCTTTTGATTTGCTGTCTAAATCTCAATAGTTATCATTTAATAATGTATTTAATTTACAATAAAAATCATGACAGCTTGGGGGAAAAGAAAAAAATAAACAACAATAAAGGTAAAGCTGTGGGTGCAAATGCTGGATGTGAGGATTAAAATAAAAATCAAACCTGATACTTACTCACACAATGCTGCTAAGGTGTTAACGTCAAAAGAAAAAGAAGGTAAACGTGCATATAAAGCAGCTCAGCTATTTACAGGCATTCTAGTTACTACACTTTACATCCGTGAATGAGCAGAAGCAACAATACTGGAGACAAAAGCGTTACAACCACCACATAGTCTTAGAGGCGTGAACTTCTATAGCCTATGTGTTAATTTATTTCTTACCACCACCCATATTAAGCACGAGAGGCCTATGTGGAGGTCAGATACGACTAGGTTATACCTGCATAGAAACACACACACGCATACACACACACAAAACACAACTGGCTTCCCTCGTGAGTGCTGAGCTTTCTTGCGAAGGTGACAAAACTTTTAACGTGGCCAGAACCTGAGTGACAGAATCTGAGGGCAATCAGCATCCCTCAGGGCGGAACTGTTTTTTCTGATTTCTGCGGGTTTCACTTTTTCTCGAGGACCATCAAATAGACCAGTTTTTAAAAACCGCAAATCCACATTTGATGAGGATTTTTTTCTTTTTTTGATCAAAGGATCACAAGGTGAGAGCATTCTTCCTTTCAGAGATGAGTACACACAACAGTGATACCTATAATTAAAGCTGTTTTGTATATGTTGTCTAAATGCGCCCTGGCGTAGTTAGGGGAATTTGCTTTTTTTTTTTCCCCTCTATCTTTTTGGGTGGTAGGTTTGAAGAAAAAGGAAGGCTGACCTTGGTTTTTTGGCAAAATCTTATAAAAGATCACTAGATAAGTAAGCTTAAAACATAGTGAATTAAAATGAAAGGCACTAGCAATTTTTACAGCTACTGAGAAATTGCTTTGCCCTTCACACCAGTGCCTTTACCTAAGCTTAATGACAATTTAAGGCCAAGAGGGTTCCACTTTTTTAAAGATAGCTAGTCTGCTTGCATCTCTGCTGAGCTCTGCTAATTTGACTGAGCAGCAGAGGAAATCTCCCCAGCAAGCTATAGATCTTAGAGATAAACTAAAGAGCTGAAGACAGGATGGCCATCTATTTTTTTTGTTTTGTTTTGCAGTGTACACCTGAGCGGTGCTTCTTTGAAGTTTTAATGCAGCAGCACGTGCGCCCGTGACCAAAATAACTCATTGCTTTGACACAGTGGGTGGTTTTTTACCGCTTTCTTACACAGTACTTGACTGCTCATAGGGATGAGAGTGAGTATGTTCATGTTTTTTTTGGTTTGTTTGTTTGTTTTCCCAAGTTTTTTTAAATTTGTATTTTCTGCTTACCAACGTCGAGATGCTCCCGGTGTTTGTCTGGGAAGCCCCTCTGCTCGCCCTGCTGCCCCCGTCTGACCGCCTGGAAGGGATCGTAAACAAACACCGAGTGAGAATTACCCGAAAAAGTCACGAAAGCGCCACAAACCGCTGCCAAACAAGAGTAACTTTACATTGACTTTATCACGCTAATAAGTGCAATTCAGTTTTGCTCTCGTTCTGTAGTAGACCCGTACCACCACCACCACCACCACCACCACCCCCTCTTCTTTTTTTAACTACTATAACCCTGGAGGCAAGTTGACTGCGCGAGTTGGTTTCATTCAAAGCTTCTCAGCAGCGCGTAAAATAAAACAAGCTTTCCACACACACTTTCTCCCTCTGCCTTTCACACACAGTCACACTCCGTGACACCTACCGCTGCGTTCGGACTTTGATTTATTTCCGACTCGTTCACCAGAGAGGACTTGAGGTCGGCCAGATCTCTCTCCGTGAACGCGTTTTCTTGGATTTTCTCCTCTTGCTCTCCTTCGTCCTTAAACGATATCATCTCATCATTGGCTCCCAGGTCGTCCCCGCCGCCGCTGCTAAGCTGAGGCATGTCTACTTCCCCCCTCCTCTTCGATGTTATACACGTTTAAAAAATGATACTGACAAAAAATAAAAATAAAAAAGTAGAAAGAAAAAGATTCAGCGGGACTTCTCTGTTAAAATCTCCTCAGTCTGGGGCGCCTCCGAAGTACAGAAACCCCCACCGCATACAGAAAAAAGTTGAGATGTGGCGTCCCCCGGCTGGTTGGTTGGTAGAAGACTAATGTTTCCCTACAGCAGCAAACAGCTCATTTGAGCCCAAGACAAGGCGAGGAGTCCGACATCAAAGGGCGCCGACCGGATGATTGACAGGCCCGATGACTTGTTGGGGGGTTGTACAATTGTTTCGGCAGAGGGCTGAGCTTCTTAAAGAGACATCACCTCTCCCAGCTCAGGCGAACAGACGTTATTCATGACTTCCAGGGGCGACTTTACACCTTCCACGATCCCACGGCTGCCACCTAAACTTCAGGCTCAGCTGGGAGATCAGTTTTGTTGCGCTTCTGCAACTTTTTCGTCATGAATTCCGCCAGTGCGGTGTATTTACGTACACTGAATCAGTGTAGTAAAATACACACTGCTGCTTTGCACTTGATGCAACTTATCAGACTTAGCTGTAGATACGGTTTTTACTATTTAATATAAAAATATATGTAATAATATAAATATATATATATATATATTTATCTATTATATTTATTAACTTTATTTACATTGCAATTATTAGCAATAATCCGGTTATATAAGCTATATTGTATTGTAGTAATTTCTTTTTAATTAATGCTTTTGATACTTTGAATACATTTCAGTAATGCTACTTTATGTAAGTAACATTTAAAATGAAAGACTTTTACTTTTAATGGAGTACATTTATAGTCTAATACTGTTACTTTCATTGTAGCAAAATAATCAAATACTTTCTTCAGCACTGTTTATATTTTAAAGTAGCTGTATCTAAAGTCTTTTTTACTACTTTTAAAAAAATTTCACTCTAGAATTCCTGTTTTTGATATTTAAATCATAATCACTAACTCATTCATGTAGTGCTTAGATATAATGCTACTATAAAGCTCACACAGAATCTCAGTTTTCTTTTCTTAACCTACTGGTTCAAAGCCAATTTATGCACTTTGAGAGAGCTAAAAAAATATTATCCAAACTTGAGGAAATGATTTTTGGCTTGACCTGAGCCATAGAATATTAATTTCCATCTACATAGGCTTTTACATATTCCTTTATATGCTTACATTGTACTTAGATTATATTTACATATTTATTTATAAACGAGAGCTGTGGGTTTTAGTATGGTTACTTTTTGCTCTTGGACTCTTTTGGAGTAACTTTAGATAATTTTAATTCAAAATAAACCGTATTGTCTTAAACTGACCTATGGTGAAGCCCCTCAACTCATCCAATGCCAAAAAATAAAATAAAAAATAACAAGAAAGGAAAGTAGCTTTCTTCTTATTGGCAGCCCCTTATAAATGGAAGATTTGAATGGCATGTGGGTGGTGCTGTGGTTCTTACAGCTAGCGCTGTGCACTTGAAATAATCATATAAGGACATCTGCTTTTAATGACATCACACAGAGCCAAGAATAAAAAAATCAGTCAGAAACAGAGCATTTAGAGCTGCATGAAATCTGAAATTTTTGCCCATACAGTCATTATTTAAAATTTGTTCATGTTTAATATGAACATCTATCATTCCAACAGCAACAAAAATAAGGAAAAATCGTAATAGGTCATAAGTCATTGTTACTGCTTATAAATTCTATCCTTAAAAGTTTCAATAAAATAATACAAATGTTGATGCTTCGTAACAGATCTGGAAATCAAGAGTATAAGTATAAGTAGTTCACTGCAACTTCGGCCATGTTATGTGAGCATCTGCCACTGTCACAGAATATGTGCCATAAACAAAATATGACAATCATTTCATTAGTTAATCTGCTTTTAAAGTAACCTATAAACTAGCAACAGATATTTTTATAAGAAATATAATATAACACAGAACTTTGGAACATACTTCACAGTAAGTTAAAGAAGTAATAAAATACAAGAAAGCAGAAAAACAAAGATGTTTTAAGCATGACCTGAATATGGAGTAAAATATACAAATAATGCAAGCCTTGTATTTACAAAAAAATTAAACGAACACTGATAAATGGATTTGGATCTTTATATCGTAGCTTCAAAGAAAACAGAAGTCTATAAGTAAATTAAATGAGATCAGTGAATAACAGTCAAATCAGGTCTGCATGTACAAAACATTTCATGTTAAGTCACTGTGCATGTGTTGTGTATTCAATAGCTGCTCCGATGACTGTTCGCGTAAAATTAAAGTGTCTATCTGGCCCTATCATATATTTTTTTAGAACTTTCAGCAACACTCAGCACAGATGACACTGTGAGAAGCGACAGAGACAGTGAGCAGAGAGGCAACAGCAGCCGCAAACAGATGTCGATGTTGCTCAAGAGACCAACAGGGAGCATGCCAATAAAAACTACAGGATAGTAAGAGCTGAACTCTATTTATCTTATTCTCCTAAAAAAAAGCGGTCTGGTCTTCAGCATTAAACTCAAGGGCTGAAAACTGGCTCCGTTCTTACAGCAGTCATCGTTTTGTTTACCTCATAAAACTGATGCTGATTAACACACAAAACATAAAAAGCACATTTGAAAAAAAAAAGTTGGCAGCTTAAAGCATTTTTGTCTTGTTGCTTTTGCTGACAGTTGCAACTTCTCTTCCTTGTGATTGGTTCAAATAAAATATGGACCTTGTCAAGGGATTCAATTCGGCTTTTTCCTTCCTTACCCACCATATTTCAAACCTCACAATAAATGTAACACATATCTCAATTGTTCAACATGTCAAAGATGTGGCTGGTATATTGTTATTAGCGTACTTCTGGGATGTTATCATCAAGCTAGTTAATAACTTTGGTAATTATGCATTGTGAGCTTTGTACTGTCTCAGCAGCCCTTTTGTAGCAGCTGCTGTCACACTGTTCAGTTGGTAGTTTTCACATTTTGGAACAAAACTCCTCATTTGCATCAAAAGAAAAGTGGCAGCTCAGGCAAGAAGCAGCAAAATCTAGGACATTCTGTGAAAAACATCAGAAGGCACGGCTTGCTCATCAATAACAGAGGCACGGCATGTTTTTGGCTGGTCCTTACATCCCCCAGATCTTGTAACAGCGAAAAGTGCTAGCTATTGCAACTACTTGATTTGAGGAGGGAAACAAGGAAAAAAAAAACATAGTTCAAAGATGTAGACTCAAAGTTCTGATGTCTTATCAAACTCGTAACTTGCCTCCCCCTATTTTCCTCCCAATGCCAATGCATTTTTAATGCTGATACAGTAGCATAGCTGGTCTTCAGAGTTTTTAATTGAGAAATATTTATACACTCCCATGCTGTGACTTAATATTTGACTTAATCTGAGTCGGTTGCCTTGAATGAAAATGATGATCCACAGCTGGGAAACAAAATTAAATACAAACAGAAAATGGGCCCGGTATTTGCATAAAACTGCATATTTATACAATATCGTTGATGCATATTAATAAAAAGATTAAAATGAGCAGTGTTAATGTATGCAAATCTAAATTATAAATGAGTTGTTTAAACTCCTTGTTTATTCGCCTTGATTAAATATAGACAGCTGTTTTTCCAGAGAGGCCAGCACCTCTCCTGCGTGGGCCACGCTGCCTCGTGAGCTCGCCGTGCTCTGATCTCAAACGCAGTTCCCTTGAATATCTGCGCTGATAGTTACGCACATTCATGGGTTCTCAGGTTCACCTTGGCTAAAGGATGCAGTCAGCCTGTCTGATTGTCTGATAACAACAGAAGAACCAGAGATGAGCAAATTTTCTCTACACGAGCTCTTGAAATACTCTCAGGGTCTCTGACCTACAAACACCTTTTCTCTTTTTATATCTACGCCTTTCTCTGTTACACACACAGACACACACACACACACACACACACACACGAGCAGACAGACTCTCTCTTTCTTTTTGCTATGAGCAGTTTGATTATTCTTGTCAGATCAGAGTCATATTTTAAGTTCACATCACCCTGCCTTATCAGTTCAGAGGTTTGATGCTCACACACACCCCGTGCATCCTTTCTCATCATCTTTTTATCTCTAACTCTAATGAGTGTCGTCTGTGACATCAGACAATAACTGTTGACAGGAAAGGCCAAAAAAGGAAACTTGAGCAGATAGAAACGATAAGCAGCCCACACACAAAACACAAGCTTGCGTAGCTGCAGCGACCCCACAAGACATGCTTTTCACACACAGGCACAGATACAGTACAAGCTCTGCATTTGAATAAGACCAGCATTGATAAAGGAGGAGCGTTTGATAAAAAGAGCTTTATGTTTGTGTGCAACAAAGTGTAAAGTGTAGAAACATGAAATAAGTCATGTAGCAAAAGGGGAATTCTTTTTTAATGAAGAACACCAACATGGAGAAGAGCTAAAAACACGATTTTTTCCCTTTTTCCTTACTAGATAACTGAATAACTGTGGTGCAGTAAACCCCATTAACGATCAGGATCATCTGCGATACAGTGCAAAAACCAGGATTACATCTTATCCTCGGCCCCTGAATGGAGAGCCTAATAGCGCAAACTTCAACCCCACCGTCAGTGTGTAAAGAGCCCATTTAATACAAGATGATCACTTCAGCAAGCCCCTTTCCATTGCCTAATCATTGGTGGTGGAAAAGTTCTTTCTTTAACATGTTTCTTTTTTTTTTCTTCAAAGATGAATCACAGTTGGTTCAAAAAAGATTATACACTGTGCTTTCTAAAGAAACACCAGACGCATTAAAGCTGCAGAGTAATTAAATCATGTCCTTTCATTGGGGTTAAGCCACATCCAAGCGAACGGCTCTTAACTGGAACCACTTGTGTGCTTTTTTATTGGTAGTTTTCCTACAATCAAAACCATGTCCTTCCAGGCAGCATCCAGCCAGCAACGTAGAACCTCAACAAATCTTTACAACGGTTTCATTTTGTGCCTCAGTTTTGGCTATAAAACAGTGAACTAATTGACTGGAATGGTAAATAAAAGTATAACTGATTTATGCTTAATTGTTTCTAAATATTAGCTAGAACATGATAACCACCACACTACAGGAAGTAAAGAGTTATGTTTGGGCTGCATGCAGACATCCAGACGAAGCACGCCTTTCAAAGCGCTTTAAAAATCTAGAGATACCAGTGAATCGTCTTTAAACAAAGAGCTCGTCTTAAGTGGTGCACTCACA